AAATAAAAGTTAAGATTTCTATGCTACAAGATATCTTTTGAATTTTTGGGCCTATTGAGATATGAAACTTAAAAATAAGGGGTATGAAGATATTTTCCCATGAAATAAAAACAAACTTCGGTGGGCCGGCCATGTGCAGGTAGAACTAATACAACACCAGTTAAGAAATGCGATTTGGTTCAAGTGGAAGGCTCTAGACCCAAAAGGATAATGATAAATATAGTGAGAAATAGATGAAGATTTTTAATCTTATTGAGGATATGATCCTTGATAAAAAAGAATGGAGAAACATGATTTATTTTTAGTCTAGAATTGGTCCTGACCTGGACCCCGAACCGGGTCGGATCCAAGTCCAAGTCGACCTGAACTCGACCCGACCCTACCCATCGCCACCCATACCTCAGGCATTAATGCCATGTGTTTGCAAGTAGGCTAGTGATGTGGATGAGGCATTGATTGAACCTGAGATAGGTAAGTGGCTTGACTATAATGGAGAAGTTCAAAAATTCAAACAAGATTTTGGTTAGGTTTGTAATGGCCATAGGCCACACGGTAGGGTGTAATGGGGTGCCGGGAACGCCATGCAAGACTAAACACGGGTTGTCTGGTGGTCCACTAATTCTAAATTGTTAGCCATCTAATTGACCAAGGATCTACATAAACCCCATCGCGAAATTCAGCACCAAGGGGTAAAGGTTATTTTCCCAAATCTTTTAGGTTTAGTGTCCAAATTATGCCATATTTGGAGCGTGCGAAATGTGGAAAACTTTTTAATGCATGGCATGGTTGAAACTTGCTACTTTCAAACAGCTCAATAGAATTTATAGGGTATGATATTAAGCGGTAATGCCCAATCGTTTTTTAAATCAGAACTGTTAGAAAGGTTGACTCGGCTGAGTACTTGTTCCAGGCCTGAGCCGAGTACTTGGGTGGCGTCCGAGTAACTCGGCTCCAGTAGTACCGAGTACTGCAACAACAAAAAAAGGTGAAAACATTTTAAAGTTTTTTCAAAAAAAAAAAAAAAAGAAAAAGAAATGAAATGTATGTTTAAAAGAAGATTAAGCAAAACATTTCAAAATGAGGTTAGAAAGGTAGTACAAAAATAGATTTAAAAAAGATGGGAAAATATGAAAATAAGTATTTATGGGCAAAACATTTTCAAATCTTTGCAAAAATGATGGAAAACATAGAAAACTATATCACAAATAATTTTTTACTTTTTTGAATTTTTATATCTTTTTGATATCCCTACCCAGCCAACTCGGGCTGGCCAGGGTGCTGAGCCCTAGTACTCAGCCCGACTACGCAGACCGAGTAGTCAAACAATAAATATTTTTTTTCTTTCTTCAACAACATCTCTCTCACTCAGGCCGTACAACATGGAGAGCAAAGTGAAAAGCACAAGAATTAAACACATGAGAGGCTACACCATACAAAGATGTAGACAGTAGCATGGGCCGGCACTTAAGAACCTCCGCATAACTTCCTTAACAGCATTAACACATAAATCAGTTGGAGTCCCTCATCTATCAAAGAAAAGACAATGGATATATCTATCTTTCCAAATTTTGGACATTGGTTTAATCGCTTGCTAACTTCGCTAAAGCTCGCAGTTGCATTTCTTTCCTACATATAAATTGAGAAGGGTAGTTTACATTTTGGGGTGTGGGTAAGAATGGCAGTTGCGAGACTCTTCTGTGCTCTCTTTCTTGGCTACTTCTCTCTCATAGCCCATGCCAATCCGCCTTTTGATACCGGCAAGCCGGTATTCTACATCTCTCTCTCTATCTCTCTCAATGTATATATAGGAGAGTCTTGAGGTCAGCTCGTTAGTTACAGCTATATTAATATTCTACATCTCTCTCTCTATCTCTCTCAATGTATATATAGGAGAGTCTTGAGGTCAGCTCGTTAGTTACAGCTATATTAATGCTCAATGATCCAAATTGAATATTGGCCGATCCAATAGTCATGATTGTATTTTACATTTGAATTTTAATTTTTTTTACAAATCCCAAATCACTTGGAATTTGGAGTGTCTATTATTAAAATACTGGCGAATCTAATAAAGATATCATAAAAATAATTCATAAAAATTAAATAGACCAAAATATCTTTTATGGTTATTTTGGTCAATTTAGTTTTTGAGAATAATTTTTAAATACTTTTATTAGACGCATCTTGATGACAAGAGAAGACGCTCTACATTTCATATGATTTGGATTTTTATAAAAAAAAACTTAAAATTCAAATATAAAATGGTCATGACTGTCCGATCGACCCAGATTCAATCTAGGTCGTTGGACTTACACCATGGCATCATCACATGGGCTAATAGGATCTTTTCTATACATATATAGAGGAATAGTTTCGCTATAGTACTATAAAACCGTTGCAACAAATACTTTGTGACCTTACATCTCATTAGCTGGGAGTGATGGTGAACTCTGGTCTTATTTTTTAAATTTCCTTGGTTATCTTAAAATGCTCTAAGAAATGAGGCTCTTGCGACTTCCACATCTGAACTATCCATTAGCATACACTTGCAGTATTTTGCATAGTTGCTTAAATGCTGGGGACTACCATAACCTATGGTTTTTAGGAATAGTCATGAACATTATTTTAGTTGTCTATGTTCTCACATCCAAAACACATAGTTAAGGGGAGTTTGCTCTTATCAGAAAAATTCTCAAAGACCCAATAAAGAGAAAAAAATGATATGGATTTCAAATAATTGCTCCACTTCTGCCAAAACACTAGGAGGTCAGGCATTTGAAAATTCATGGGTATATAGTTTTCATATTTTGTGCTTTTCGTGTTTTTGTCTCCCATGCAGGTTTACATTGTGTATATGGGAGATAGACCTTCGGGAGTAGAATCGCCCCTCTCATCGTTACACCATGTCATGCTAGAAAAAGTGCTTGGCAGGTATATTCTCTCCCTCCCTCTCCCCGTCTCTCTCTAGAAAATGTGCTTGGCAGGCATACTCTCTCTCTCTCTATCTCCCAATAATTTTGAATTAACCATAATTCCCTTATCATTTAATTGAACAATTGCAGCAAAGAGGCAGCGACAGATGCTCTTGTTTACAGTTATGGGAAAAGTTTCAATGCTTTTGCAGCTAGGCTTTCTGAGGATGAGGCTCAAACATTATCAGGTGTGTATGAGAGAGAGAGAGAGAGAGAGAGAGAGAGAGAGAGAGTAAGTATTAGAATAATATACTACTATTGTTTGTTGTGTTAGGTTTAGTTAAGTAGTGTGTGGTGTTCGGTTCGTCGTCGTAGTACGTCGTGTC